CTCGGCGGCGCGGGCGGTTCCCGGTGCTCCCGGGCCGGAACCCCGCGCGGGGCAGGTCCCGGTGCCGGTGCCGCCCTTCCGAACCGGCCGCTCGCAGCACACGGGGCCACCGGGCCGGTCCCGGCCCGGATAAGCGGGGCCTTCACCGGGAGCCGCCCGGGCTCGTCCAGCCGGGCCCCGCTCCCGCTCTGAACCAGGGCGTTACTTCTAACACGACCCCCCTCCCTCCAGCAGCTCCGACTCGGGAGACGAGAGGCAGAAATGGAAGAAGAAGAAGAGGAGCAGAAGTCGGGAGCGGCCCCATAGCGGCCGTCGGAAGCGTCGCTCGCGGTCCCGGGGCCGCTCCTCCAGCTCGGGCTCGGAGCGGGAGCGCGGCCGGAGGCGAGCGCGGAGCCGGGAGAGGCGCAGGCGGAGGGGCGGCTCCGCATCCTCCGTGTCCTCCGTGACGTCCCCGTCCCCGCCGCGCTCGCAGGGCAGGGAGGAGCCGCCGCAGCTGAGCCTGCAGGAGCGCCTGAGGCTGAAGGAGGAGAAGAAGAAGCAGGCAGCGCTCATGAAAGCCTTGGAGACGCCCGAGGAGAAGCGGGCCCGGCGCCTRGCCAAGAAGGAAGCCAAGGAGAGGAAGAAGCGCGAGAAGATGGGGTGGGGAGAGGAGTACATGGGCTACACCAACACCGACAACCCCTTCGGGGACAACAACCTGCTGGGCACCTTCATCTGGAGCAAGGTGAGCGCTCCCTGTGCACACCAGGACGCTGTCCCTGTGCCGCTGCCGCAGGACGGGACAGCGTGGTGCCGGGGGGGACACTCCGTGGAGTGGGAGCACTGGGAAGGCTAAAAGCAGCRGCACGAGGACAAAGGTGTCACAGAATCACAGAATATTCAGGGTTGGAAGGGACCTCTAGAGATCATCTAATCCAGCCTTCCCAGTTGACCTTCCCAGTCACCCAGGGCAGTTGTTCCTGGTCTTTCAGTGGTTTGCTTCGTTTCTTTTTCCTTGACTTTTGAAGACTAATATCCGCAGGTGGGAGCACAGGGTGGAGCGATCCGGAGCTGCCGGGCGCTGAGGGGTCAGTGTTCGTGTTACCCCTCGTCAGGCGCACGGCGGGTTCATCTGGTTGGGATTGGCTCCACTGGGAGGCTGCGGAGAGCTCTGGGACCAAAGTGGCCCGCAGCAGTGGGGACRGTGGCGTCTGCCGCCCTGTGAGAGGCTGCAGAGACTCTTTCATGGTTTCTCTTGGCCGTTTGGTTTCAGGCGCTGGAGAAGAAGGGGATCAGCCACCTGGATGAGAARGACCTGAAGGAAAGGAACAAGCGAATCCAGGAGGACAATCGCCTGGAGCTGCAGAAGGTGGGAACAGACACTGCTGCCTCCCATGGACAGCCTGGTTTTCCTGGTCCAACATCTGGAATTCACCTCCCCCTTGTAGGAGGGGTTGCCTGTTGGCTGCGAGACGGGGCTGCCACACTTGTGACCTCCGCAGGGAAGCTCTTTTGTTGGGGCTCAACCCAACTAAGGAGGTGCTGGGGGGGGGCAGGTGCCAGGTCACGAGTGGCCCTAGGACAAGAGCTGAGGCTCTCTGTCATGCCCCTGTCCCCTGCCCTCGTGAGGGCTGGCAATGAGTGTCCGGCATCCATGTAGCCCCGCTCCTCTTTTTGGGGAACTGGGGCCCGTTGCTGGGGCTGACGCAGCTCCACAGGGATGTTTGGGGCCACCTCCTGGGGTGAGTGTCCTTTGGGGGAGTTGCAGCCTCTATGGCCTCACGCTTTGCGCCGTCCGAGCAGGTGAAGCAGCTGCGGCTCGAGCGGGAGCGAGAGAAGGCCATGCGGGAGCAGGAACTGGAGATGCTGCAGCGGGAGAAAGAGGCGGAGCACTTCAAAACGTGGGAGGAGCAGGAGGACAACTTCCACCTGCAGCAGGCCAAGCTGCGGTAGGTGCCGGCCTTGCGGGGCGTGCTGGGCAGCCGGACACAGCAGACACCGCTCACCATCCCTGTCCTCACCCAGCTCCAAGATCCGGATTCGGGATGGGAGGGCGAAACCCATTGACCTGCTGGCCAAGTACATCAGCGCGGAGGACGACGACCTGGCCGTGGAGATGCACGAGCCCTACACCTTCCTCAACGGCCTCACTGTGTCCGATATGGAGGATCTGGTGGAGGATATCCAGGTGCCAGGCTGCTGTGCCGAGGCTCTCTGCCTCCTCCTCGTCCCCACTCCCTCGCCCTTGGCGGAGCTCAGCCCGTGGTCCACGTGCCTCATGTCCTGCTCCCCTGCCTGCAGGTTTACATGGAGCTGGAGCAAGGCAAGAATGTGGATTTCTGGAGGGACATGACCATCATCACGGAGGATGAGATAGCCAAGCTCCGCAAACTGGAGGCCTCGGGGAAAGGAGGAGCTGGTGAGTGGGAGGGTAGAGCTCACAGCACGAGTAGATGTGGGAGGCTGTGGGAGGAAAGGTCAAAATGGGGCACAGGGTTTGCCCCCTGCTTTCGGCTTGGGAGAGAGGTTCCCTGATCATTCTGGGGGAAGTGCTGGATGGAGAACGTGGATTTGGGACCTGTCTTCATCTGGGGTCCAGCCTCCTGTTCGGTGCGAGCCAGGGCTGCCTGGCTGAGCGTGGGCTGACGGGCTGTCCTTGCCTGTGTGCGCAGGGGAGCGTCGCGACGGCGTCAAYGCCTCCGTGAGCTCGGACGTGCAGTCCGTGTTCAAGGGGAAGACGTACATCCAGCTGCAAGTGCTCTACCAGGGCATCGAGAGCAAGATCCGAGCGGGAGGCCCCAATCTCGATATCGGCTACTGGGAGAGCCTGCTGCAGCAGCTCAAGGCCTATATGGCCCGGGCCAGGTGAGCATGGGGACGTGTCCCTCAGGCAGGGAGCAGCTCTGCGGGGACGCAATCCACGAGTCGCTGATGGAGGTTTCTCTAAGCTGGCTGTTATCTCTAAGAGAAGCCCAGCTGGACACTCGGTCCCTTCTTGAAGGGTTGTTTGCAGGGAGGTCTCTGTGCGGGAGGATGACTGAGCCCAGTCACTGTAGACAGCTCGGCCCGTTGCTGCCCGCTGCAGAGGCTGGCGCAGCGCTGGGCACTGTGTTGGCACAGGGTGGCCTGGCCGCGTCTGCCCCACCGGCTCCTCTCTCCGCAGGCTGCGGGAGCGGCACCAGGACGTGCTGCGCCAGAAGCTCTACAAGCTGAAGCAGGAGCAGGGTGTGGAGAGCGAGCCGCTCTTCCCCATCATCAAGAGGGAGCCGTCTTCCCCCAGCGACAGGTACCCAGCCCGTCCCCGGGGCGGCACGGCCAGCCGGGCCTTACCTGGGGGCACCCAGTATCCCCCTCCTTAGACCTTCCCAAACCAGGAGGGCAAATGCAGCCCAGTGCTCCCATCCTCCCTGAGGCAAACCTCAGGGAGGCAGAGAACTGAGGGTACCATCTCCGTCCTAGGTATCTCTTCTCTCTCTCCCCTAAACTGGAGCCAGAGGAGACCCTGGCAGTGCAGCCAGGACCATCCTCGGAGGCGGAGGCCGAGCCCGAGGCAGAGGCCAAGGGGGACGCGGAGGGGGAGGCCGTGCTCATGGAGGAGGACCTGATCCAGCAGAGCCTGGACGATTACGACGCGGGCAAGTACAGCCCCCGGCTGATGGGCACCACCGAGCTGCCCTTCGATGCCCACGTGGTAGAGGCCGAGGAGGATCTGCAGCGGCTGCTGCTGCTGCGCCAGCAGCTCCAGGTCACAGGTAGGGCTCGTGCAGCCGGGCCCTGCGCCTGCTCCGGCGCTGTGGGGCTGGAGGGTGGAGCTCTGYGGGAGCTGGGTCCACAGCTAGGCAGGCAGAGGGCTCCTGGGTGGCRAAGGGGACTGTTACCCAGCTCGGGAGCAGGGAAAGGCTCCTCAGGCTGCTGACTTCCTTTGCTGCTTCCCGGATCGAGGCCTTCCCTGTGCCCAGCGCCACCAGGGAGCCGTTTCAAAGGCCTGTGCACAGTAGGAAGCATTTGGCGTTGTGCCCCGGTGTAACTCGCTGCAGTGCCCGCCCCGAGGGCACGAGTGTGTCCCCATCTCGCCGCCCAAGAGCTGCGTCCCTGCGGGCCGGGCCTGGCTGGCGCCGCGGGACCAGCCCTCACTCCTCCTCCCTGCAGGCGACGCCTCCGAGAGCACCGACGACATCTTCTTCCGCAAGGCCAAGGAGGGCATGGGCGCGGACGAGGCGCAGTTCAGCGTGGAAATGCCCCTCACGGGCAAGGCCTACCTGTGGGCCGACAAGTACCGGCCCCGCAAGCCCCGCTTCTTCAACCGCGTGCACACGGGCTTCGAGTGGAACAAGTACAACCAGACCCACTACGACTTCGACAACCCGCCGCCCAAGATCGTGCAGGGCTACAAGTTCAACATCTTCTACCCCGACCTCATCGACAAGCGCTCTACGCCCGAGTACTTCCTGGAGGCCTGCCAGGACAACAAGGACTTCGCCATCCTGCGCTTCCACGCCGGGCCCCCCTACGAGGACATTGCCTTCAAGATCGTCAACCGGGAGTGGGAGTATTCCCACCGGCACGGCTTCCGCTGCCAGTTTGCCAACGGGATTTTCCAGCTCTGGTTTCACTTCAAGCGTTATCGCTACCGGCGCTGAGGGGCTGCTGCTGCTCTCCCCTCTGGACCGCTGCCGTGGGGGCGTGCGGGGGGGTCTGCTCCCTGTTTGCACAGCCCCAGGACCTSCTCTCTGCCTGGCCCTGGGCACGGGTGGAGATTTTCCCCTCTTCTCCTTCCTTTTATTCTGAGAGACTCTGGGACTTGGATACAAATAAACAAGGGTTATTTAAGCTGTGCTGGGCACCACAGCAGCCCCTTAGGGCGATCCCAGCTGGGATCGGCAACAGTTGCTCCCTATTCTTGTCCCTCCTCCTTTGGGGTCTGTGTGGGGCGAGGGTGATCTCCTTGTCACCCTCCTGCAGGCCCTGTCACCCCTTTCCCGCTGCTGTGACACCCCCCGACCTCTTCCCAGTGTTCCCAGCAGCCGGGCCAGGCCCTTCTCAGCGGGATGTTCCCCAGCTGGAGCTGTGACGCTCGCGCCGCCGGCCCCACATGCTCCCTCCGGGCCTCATTCCTGGCACGTCCCTGCTGGGATCCGGCTGCCCTGGGCAGCGAGCGCGGCCGTGGCCCTGACCCGGCCGCGGGATGAAAGGGAGCGAGTCCCGCGGGGCCTTGGCCTCGCCGGCGAGCAGGAAACGGCTCTCGGAGGTGACCGGGATGTCACTTCACGGAGCCAAATCCCCTCCCCTTGACCTGCAGCGGCGCCCCCGGCACCGCGCGGCTCTTGCTCCGGCCGCGCAGGGACGGGCTGAGCCGGGAGCTCCGCGGCGCTGGGAGCAGGAGGAAGCCCGCGGTGCCTCCCGGCAGTGCCCGGGAGTAACGGCTCCAAGCGGAGCCTCCAGGGAGCCTTGGCCTCAGCCGAGGGTGCGGGTTTCCTCCCTGCCGGCCTCACTGCATCCAGCAGGATCCGCCCCTGGACCTGCCGAGGCTGGAGGATCTCACGGGGGGCATCTCCCATCCGCCAACTCTGCCCACACATCCCTGGGCGCTCGGCCTGGCCGTGGGTGCCAGCCCCGGGATACAGGGGCCGGCGAGAACCTCCCTGGGCCCGCGTGCCCCCCTCTTCCATCCTGCCGGACTTCCCAGGGCCGGGCCGGAGGCTGCGGTGGGATATGGCCCGCGGCCTCCCCTTCCTGTGCGTTACTTGGAGCCGTTTGTCCCGTGGTTATTTCGAGGTGTCTGAGGGCGGCGCAGGAAGCGGGTGAAGGCCGGGCCAGGGCTGCATTTGGGGGCCGGAAAGACAAAACCGGCAAAATATGGGGCTTCGGTGCCCTCCTTGCTTGTCCCGCTCCTTCCTCTTGTGCGGGTGCCCGCTGGGCCCCAGCCCCCACCTGGCACCGTATCCAGCCCCCATCGGCACCGGGAGGCCGAGCGGGTCCCCTGCGCACATCCCCTGCACCCCAGAAAAGTGACAGGAGCCTCCAGAGCACCCCGCAGCCGGACAGCACGGCGGGAGAACCCAGCGGGGCCGGAGAGCCCGGCCTTGCWTCCCGGCTTCCCTTGGGTTCCAGGGACAGGAAATGGGGCTGCTTCCCGGTCCCTGAGGGGCTCGGGTGTCCCCTGCTCTGAGCTGTGTCCCCCCCTGCGCCCACATCCCCSTACGCGGTGGCAGGAAGGGACAGCAGCACCCGGGGACACCCCCACGACAGCGCCCAGGGGCCTCCYGGCGGCTCCTTGGCTGCGTTTCCACCCGCTCCTGGCCCCTCCTGGCATCCYGCGCTCCGGAGCAAGGGGAGAACAAACTGCATGTGCAACTGGGCTCCTGCTCCAGCTTCCCYGGCGCCGCTGCCCGCGGGAGAGGAGGCACCAGGATGTCCCCATGTGCTGGAGCCCCGAGGCCGTGCCGGCCCACTCGAGTCCAGCACGGTGACAGCTCCGGACATGCCGGGCTGGGAAAACCCCTGGATTGGCCTAGGGCAGGTCGTGTCCTCGGAGATGGCCGGGGAGCTCCAGGGTTTTGGGGACACCTCTGGCCAAGGGAGTCCCCATGCCAGGGAGGCTGCTGGAGGCGCTCCCTCCTGCCCGGCCAACCCGCTCTTCCCCAGCCTTTTCCTGGGAATCTCTCCTCTGCGCGCCATGGATCTGTGCRCAAAAGTTCCCAAGCCCCGAGATGCCGGGCAGCGCCTGGGATGGGGACAGCGGGGACGTCCCCCGTCGCCACGTCCAGCACGCGGGTGGCCAAGTCGGGAGCCGCGAGCCGGGCCCRGCCGCGCTGCTCCCCCGGGACGGCGGCATCGGAGGCACGGCAGGAATGACCCCCCCTTCGGCTGCTGGAATCCGGCTCTGTAAACAAGTGAGTAACCCGGATAAGAGCCCAGCCCCGCTAAATATAGCGGCGGGCGGGCTGGGGTGCCGGCCACCGGCGCACGCCGCGCTCCGCGGCCGCTCCGGCGCAGGTG